TTTTTTTTTGGTCAAATAGATAATGGAGAGATGAAGTGGAGAAAACTGTAAAGGCTCTTTGGTGACCTGCTGTTTTGGGATTTAGCCAATTTTGAAATTCAAATTCTATTTTGCCTCGTTTTTTCTGTGCAATTCTGTGGTTGCCCTGTGGTGGTGTTGACCACCATCACGGTGTTCTGTTTTCGCTGTTCCGTTTGGTGTTTTTTGTTGTTTCCTGGAGCTACTGCTACTGCTACTAGGTACCATTCAGCAACTTTATAAGCTCTGAACGATACCTTATAAATAAATACTGCGGGAGACAGGAGATCACTGTTTAAATGTTTTTGTTTTATGGTCGGATGCGTAGAAGTGCTTTTCTGCAACTGTTAATTTTGTGTATCGGTAGTGCTGTTGGTGGTGGTGGTGGTGATACTGCTGCTGTTGCTGCTGTCGGTGGTTAAGTGTTGCCTAGTGTGTGTAACACGGCTAGTTGTTCTTTCAGTGCAGTTTGGCTTGCACTTTTTTTCATGTGCTGCATCAAAATATAACAGCAACAGCAACAACAACAACAACAACAGCAACAGCAGCAGCAACAACAATTATAAAAACAGCAACGATTCCTGCGCTATGAACAGCTGAAAATACTCTTCTTTTTCTTCTTTTAATTAGCTTTTGATGCAGTTTTTTCTGTTCGGTTATTGTGGTAATTGTTATTGATATTTTTTCATTATTATCAGTGATGGTTTCATAAATATTAGCAGTTGAATTGGCTTTGTCTGTGAATGTCTTTTTTTTTCTGGCGGTGGTGGTTGCGGTATCACAGTGAAGGGTTTTTTGTACAGCAAAAAAAGGGGCTATTAGATGGGACTTTCAGAGGAATGTGTTTTTATTCATTTACTTTTTTCTTGCATTTGTTCCTCTTTAGATTCGTCTTTTTAATTATATTTTGTTACTTTCACCCAGCCAATATTGTAGTTTTTTTATGTATTATTCATTTTGATGTTTGGACTTGCTGGGAAAAAACGGTGAAGCGCATCGTAAAGGTATGATAAGATGAATAATAATTGTTCAGAGATGATCTGCTTTTATGCGTTAATGATTTTTTCTTTTGGTCATACGTTGTTCAAAGTTTACTCTGTAATTTATTTTAATACTTTTCTTTTTTGTGTTTGGTTTGCATTTACTTCATTTATTTGTTTTTCTGTTGGAGGGAAGAGACGAATGGTTTAATTAAGTTGCTTTCACTTTTCTGCATCCTTTTGCGTCGTCTGTAGTCGAATACGGGTTGGTTTATGTTTAGATTATGGTTTGAAGGTTAAAGATCAAGGGGAAACATAACGATGTCATATGTATCTGAGGAAGAAACAATTTTTAATGCAGGCACTTCAATGCATAAGGGGGAAGGTGATTCAGAGGAAGAAATGCCGGTAAGTTCGTTGGATAAAACCCGAAATCAACCTCATCCATTATGCGTTATCGATATTGAGGACGATCACGTTTTCCGGCTTGAGGAAGAGTCCTTAAAAGAGATGCTTTTGTGTCCTGAAATTGCTGATAAAAAGGTATTAAGGATGAATTACTTTTTATTGGTTCAAGTTGACGATAAGTCCTCATTGTAATTTTGTTGCTGTGAGTGTTTTTTAGATTTTTTTTGTTTGGGTTTTAGGTATCTATACTCAGTGTCGCCGGAGCATTTCGTAAAGGGAAAAGTTTTTTACTGAACTTCTTCTTGCGTTATTTGAATTCGGGTGAAAGCGAAAGGCATACCGGTGGGTGGATTGAAAAGCCGGGCCCGTTAACTGGATTCAAATGGAGAGGAGGTAAAATTTTTCGAAGTAATCTTAGCGAAATAATTTTTTATTTTTGATAGAGATATTGTTTTAGTTTATCGCAGTGAGAGTTGTGATGTTGTTTGGTATTTGTGTTTTTTAAGAGGTTTTCAGGTAGTGAGAGGGAAACAACTGGTATACTTTTGTGGTCAAAACCTTTCGTCATTAAAAATAAAAATGCTGAGGATGTAGTGGTGTTACTTATGGACACTCAGGGAGCATTTGATAGTCAAAGTACAGTTAAAGACTGCGCAACTATCTTTGCCCTTTCAACCATGTTGTCATCCACCCAAGTTAGTGAGCTCTTCAGGAGTAAAAGCGTTTTTTCGTTACATTTTTTTCACTCGTTTAGGGTGAAGTTTTCAACGGTTTTCTTGTGAGTATCGTTTGAATGAGCATAAAGGGTAGTGGATTTTAATTTTAATAGGTAACCTTCTTCGTTACATCTAGTTTTTTTTTTTTTTTTCAGATCTATAACTTGAGCCAAAACGTTCAGGAAGACGACCTTCAGCATCTGCAGCTTTTTACAGAATATGGAAGGCTTGCTTTGGAAGATTCAAAAGCTAAGCCTTTTCAGGTATGTTTGTGTAAGTTGATTTTTTGAAAATTCGTACTTGTTTGATCATTAGCAATATCATTTTTGCTCTCTTCGGTACTGAGTTCTTTTTAGACCTTATTGTTTTTGGTCCGCGACTGGAGTTTTCCTTACGAGGCAGAATACGGGTTTGGAGGTGGTGAGCGGCTTCTTGAAAAACGATTGCAGGTTGCTACGTTATCAGCGTTTGTTTAATTTTTTACATTTTACTGTTCTTTTGTTTTTGCGTTTTCTTCGGTTTGTCTCTTTGTACCATTTGTTCGGCTTCTTTTACTTTTTATCATTTATGTCCAAGAAAGATTTACAGATAACAGATAAACAGCATCCAGAGCATCAGCAGCTTCGGCAACATGTCCGTTCATGTTTCGACAGAATTTCATGTTTTTTGATGCCTCATCCAGGGTTAAAGGTTGCCACGAGTCCGCAGTTTCGTGGTGCTTTTAGTGGTATGTGTGTATTTACCAAGCACAGATATATTTCTTACAACGTGTGAAGAAGGATTTTGTAGATATGGAGCAAGATTTTAGACGGGAAGTGGCCTCATTAGTTCCACATTTGCTTGGAGGTGATAATTTAGTTATGAAGCGAATTAATGGTCAAGAAATAACTTGTCGGGAGCTACTTGAATATTTCCGCGTATGTGGATTTTGACGTTTAAACTAAAAATTTTACTAACAGTTGTTTCTTAAACCAGTTTCATTTCTTATTCTTCGTTGTGCTCAAATACTGTCTTTTAAGGCCTATATTAATATTTTCCAAGGGGAAGACCTTCCTGAACCTAAATCGATGCTTATGGTTCGTTTTTTTTTATCTTTCCGCAATCAGATGTTTCTTTTTTATTAACTAAACAAATTAAACTGATTTATGAGTAAAGCGGAGGTTTTATTTCATTTTGAACCGTTCCCACTCATTTTTTGTATTTTCAGGCGACAGCTGAAGCTAACAATCTTGCTGCAGTCTCGAGTTCAAAGGCGTATTATATGAAGGAAATGGAGGAGGTCATTTGTTTATTTTACCATATTACTCACACAGTAATTTTCTTTTGTTAATTCTCAAGAAATTGTCGCAAATTTCAGGTATGTGGTGGTGATGCTCCATACATGGATGCAAGTGCGCTAGAAGAACAACATTTACGGTGTCTTCATGAAGCTGTTTACATGTTCAAGACTGCGAAAAAAATGGGCGGGACAGAATTTTCCCTTCAGTTTTTAGAGAGACTCAGTAATGATATCCAGGTTTGGTTTCTTCAAGTATTTATTTCTTTTTTTGCTCTGAGCTGTCGATTTCCTTTATGGATTTTAGTCGTGTTGCGAGATTTAAATTCATTATTTCCTGTCACTTCGTCATTTTCTTTTTTATCAGTATTATTATTGTTGTTATTTTTTCTTTTCAATATAGCTCAGAACTTCTCATTGTTCTCGGCGGTTTGTTTCAGGAACAGTATGAAAATTTCAAGAAAGCTAATAATAGCAAGAACGTTTTTCGAACGATGTTTACTCCTATTGGGATTTTTGTATCAATTATATGCGGGTATGTATGTCAGGAATTCTTCCAGTTGATTGGTGTTGGTCCTTTGGCGAATGTGTTTTTGCTGGCGATCTGGCTTTGTAAGTTCCAAGCGACAGTTTTTTAAAACTTTTCAGTTATGATTTATTTATGCTTTTTTTTTGCAGTAATTATTGCGTTAATAACATACATGTATTCGGTATATAGCGGGAAGGCACGAGAAGCACGGGTGGCGATGGATAATTTTGTCTTATATGCATGGAATAACTTCCTTGCCTCTGTTACACAGCAGGGCATGCAAAGAGCTGTAGATATCGGGCAGAAATTTGCTCAGGTTTTCTATTGTGATTATTACTGATAGTTTTTCATAATGTCTTCCAAGAGAAAAAAGAAACATGCATGGCTAATTGAAATTGTTTAGGGAAGTGCTAACTTCACTCAGCTTCAGGCGAATTCTACATCAACTAATATACGGGAAAGGAAGAGAAGATGATTGTTATATTATGCTCGCGATTCCCAGCTCCT